AAATCTCTAATAATTCCAGTTAAGATATTGTTTGTCATGTTTGCTATAATGCATTAACATTAATAATAATAATAATAATAAAACTTGAATTCTTTTGATTATAATATCTTGTATTACTATTATACCTGAGGGTTAGTTTGTGAGTACATTTCTTGTAAGTACTAGCTCAAGTACCTTTTATCATAATCACCAAGAGAGTACCAACTACCAATTATTATTAATTGCGGGACTCACCACTAACTCACTAAGAAGAATATATTTCAATGCATTCAATAGCAGGACCATCACCTCATGAGCAAGCAAAGAAGACATGTTTTAACCTGATGCATTCCTTGACATACAACCAACTAATAATTACTGTACTTATTGTTATAATGTTGGCAGTGATTGGATTTAATAATTTACAAGGTGATATGGGTGTGGGTCATTATGAGTAATAGATCTAGTCTGGGTGTGGCACGGGTTGATTGACATTCTTCACATTTCACAAACAATGTCTAAAGGTGAGTTTCTGTTTTCTTCCTCCTCTTTCTCATCATGTTTGTATTTTACAGGTATCTATCAACTGGGAGGGATAGCTCATCACTCAGCTGCTGTAGTAGGAGGATCAGTGTTCTTGTGGGGAGGGCAAAGGCCTGACTTACCTATAGTTCATGATTCCCCACAAAAGAGGAATTTTTTGTCCACCATTGATAGACTTGAGTTTAGGACTGGTCGTTGGTCCTCTCACGTGACCAGAGGAACTTTACCTCCTCTAGGAGCTATAGGATACTTCTGTACTACCAGAAACAACGACATCTTCTTTTTTGGTGGTACCTGTGGAGATGGTCTTTGCTTTCATAATGATATCAACTCATTTAACAGTTTAGCATATGAATGGAGTAATATAATACCAACCAGTGATGCTGTAATGAAGAGAGTGGAAGGTGGTATGGTGTGTATGGAGTCTATGGGTACAGAATACTTATTTATGATAGGAGGGGCTGGTTCTACACCCACTACATACCAATCACAGTATCAGTATATTCAGTTGGTTACTGGTGCCATTCGTACTAATGAACAGAATTTATTAAATTTATCAACAAGTAAGTATTTATTAATTAAGACATATATTAACAATCTATATTCTGCTTGTGATGACATATTTTTCAATCATTATTTTTGTTACCATTTGCATATTAAGTAGGTGCATGTAAACATTGAAGGAGTGAGCATGAGCCATCATTGTATGAAGAGACAGCTGATTTGACTGACTAATTTTGAGTTACATCAGCTATTTAAAAGTAAAAAATGCAAAATTTAAAATGAGGCCTTCAAGCATGGATGCATTTTACTCCACCTATTAATAATTTGTCCACATGGTCTAATTAAATTTATTGATTAACGTCCCTCACCAATGCTTTGTGTGAGTGAGGGACTAGGTAGTCTGGTTGTCTGTCATTCATTCATTCATTTAGTTTACTGAACTATAATAATCATTTTACTCCATTTATGAATGATATTGTCAAATGTTGTCTTATTGAGCCACAACTGACATGTATCTGTGCGAAGTAGAACAAAAATGACAAATTTTATTTAGTGATTTTTTTTAAACATGCAGCCAATCATCAAAATTAATTTGCAGCCATTTTCTTGCTTTGCATGTACAATGTATGTACATGATATTTGCAGTGTCATACTTAATATTTCTAATTATACTATCTATTTCTATTTAGGACAATGGATTATTCCAACTATTAGTGGTCAGTGTTGTCCTCCTATTGGTTCCTTTGCTATGGAAAAGATTACTAATAATAAAGCTGTCATGTTTGGTGGATCAGTGGCTAGGGATGATGGTAGAAGTGATATACTTGTTAATACAGTCTATACATGTCAAATGGAGTCTGATACTACAATAGTAAGTTATCTTATTACTGTATGGGATGTATTTATTGCATGGATCAATCATGTTTGGACATTAATACATGTACATACGGGTATAGCTTGTAATTTGAAAAATGTATTTAAATGAGTATTACATGTAGATTTGGTTTAATAAATTATTTTAATGGAAACTGTACAATTACTATATAGTGGGAAATTTTGGAGGTGCTAAATTCTGGCGAATTGCTAAATTTGGGTGATTGTTGGATTTTTAATTTGGTGAATTTGTGGAATGGCTCAAAATGGTGAATTTTTATTTTGGCGAATGGCTATCAAAACGCCAAATTTAATCCCCTCCAAAACTACCTGCTAT